GCACACAATATCTTACCGTATCGATAAATGTTTGTCCCATTAAGGTTCGAACATAACGACACTCAGGATTCCACATAGCGTGTTGTGTCCATGGGTCATCACCCTTTTCCCAATTGCGGATACCAACACCGCAGTGGAAACAATTTACGTGGTCACCGTACCCTGAAAACGGAAGATTGGTATCGATAGTGATGCTTCGATCCGAAGATAAAAGTTATATATTTACTAAGCCTCACGACTGTCTAATTTGTCTAAAGAGGTTTACCCGAATAAAAGAATCCAGCAGCTATCAGTCTTTTGGGGAGCATTATATCTCCCAGAGGCCAATCGTCATAGGTGTATTTGCGACTTCTTGGCGTTACGAAATTTTCGTGCTCTGGTCCAGAATACGATTCGATGCCCATCTCCGACAATATGTTACCAACACTGGTTCTTGAGGAACTGTCATTATCCGACTCGCGTGAATCTCCACCATCTTCTTCGCCACTAGCTCCACGGTTTCTTCCTTCTTTGCTATCACAGCTGTTTTTCTCGTTATCTGTTTCTTGATGACCGATGATCTTACTTATAATCTTATTTATACGAATAGGTACATTACCGGTTACCTTTCCCTGTGCAAAATCACAGTAGGCGTTAGTTAAATGTTTTTCTGTTATATATTGAGACATAGAAGTGTGTCGAGCACAGCAAACGTACAGTGTACACGGTTTAAACGATATGCGCGCCTTGCAACAAAAACAAATGCATTCAAAGTTCATTCTTGAATAAAAAAAGCCAGCGGCGGCAAGATCCCTTGCTTCTATTACTTCGCCTAACGGCCAGTCTATAAAAGTTTCTAATCTTTTCGTTTCGTATCTTAAATCAGATGCAACAACTAGTCTCGATCTCGGAAGTGAAGGTAAATTCCGTGCGAATACACAACTTGGGCTATTTATCTGGTGAACTTCCACGATGTCATCAGTTTTTCCAATGTCACTGATGTCGATGTTTAAATTACATCTGAAACAAATCAGTCTCTTATCTAGTTCATAGAAACCAGCTTTTGCCATTATTTTTGGATGGTGAACATATTGATCATAATCCCTATATGTATTTGTTCGATGTGTCTCCTCGCACATACGGGTAAGATCACGATCAATATCAGTTGCATTGTCCATGTTCCCTGGATCAGACATTTTGCTCTACGAATCGTGTAGTATAGACTGATGTTCGATATATGATGTAGCTGCACAATACACACGTTTATATAGTTTTGTGTGTGTGTATGCGTACTGTATAAAATCACATTATAGTATATCAGAATTTGTCTGTTGCCCCATCGAAACGATAAATTGATCACGATCCTTGAATCTACAGCAATATATATTCTATTCTTACGATTCGTCTTTATTGAGTCGTGTTTATCATAATCACGGAAAATAGCCGTTTAAACTTACTTTGAGAGTTGGACATGTCTTAAAAGTGGACATATTTTAAAAGAGGACACACCTTAAAAACTGGACATGTCTTAAAAGTGGACATATTTTAAAAGAGGACACACCTTAAAAACTGGACATGTCTTAAAAGTGGACATATTTTAAAAGAGGACACACCTTAAAAGCTGGACATGTCTTAAAAGTGGACATATTTTAAAAGAGGACACACCTTAAAAACTGGACATGTCTTAAAAGTGGACATATTTTAAAAGAGGACACCTTAAAAACTGGACATGTCTTAAAAGTGGACATATTTTAAAGAGGACACACCTTAAAAGCTGCGACAGTCTTAAAAGTGGACATATTTTAAAAGAGGACACACCTTAAAACTGGACATGCTATTAAAAGTGGCATTTCAAAGAGGACCCACCTTAAAAACTGGACATGTCTTAAAAGTGGACACTATTTTAAAAGAGGACACACCTAAAAGCTGGCATGTCTTAAAAGTGGACATATTTTAAAAGAGGACACACCTTAAAAACTGGACATGTCTTAAAAGTGGACATATTTTAAAAGAGGACACACCTTAAAAACTGGACATGCTTTAAAAGTGGACATATTTTAAAAGAGGACACTCCTTAAAAGCTGGACATGTCTTAAAAGTGGACATATTTTTAAAGAGGACACACCTTAAAAACTGGACATGTCTTAAAAGTGGACATATTTTAAAAGAGGACACACCTTAAAAACTGGACATGCTTTAAAAGTGGACACACCTTATAAACTGGACATGTCTTAAAACTGGACATGTCTTAAAAGTGGACATATTTTAAAAGAGGACACACCTTAAAAACTGGACATGTCTTAAAAGTGGACACATCTAAGGTGTATCCTCTTTTAAAATATGTCCACTTTTAAAACATGTCCAGTTTATAAGGTGTGTCCACTTTTAAAGCATGTCCAGTTTTTAAGGTGTGTCCTCTTTTAATATATGTCCACTTTTAAAACATGTCCACTTTTAAGACATGTCCAGTTTGTAAGGTGTGTCCACTTTTAAAACATGTCCAGTTTGTAAGGTGTGTCCACTTTTAAAACATGTCCACTTTTAAGACATGTCCAGTTTGTAAGGTGTGTCCACTTTTAAAACATGTCCAGTTTGTAAGGTGTGTCCACTTTTAAAACATGTCCACTTTTAAGACATGTCCAGTTTTTAAGGTGTGTCCACTTTTAAAACATGTCCAGTTTTTAAGATGTGTCCACTTTTAAAACATGTCCAGTTTTTAAAGTGCGTCCTCTTTTAAAAGTGGACACATCTTAAAAACTGGAATACGTATTTAGAAACATGGCCAAGCTATATAAACACCGACTGATAATATAAAGTTAGACTCGACTCGACTCTCTCCTCCTCCTCCGGTTCCTGTACTTTTAAGTGTAGTGTAAGTAATTTTTTTTAAATCGGAAGATCGGGAGAATATCTCTAATTCGTCCATAAGAAATGTTTTCATAGCCAGTGCCAGATCAATGTAACCGAAGACGATGGATATATCACATCCTAACAGTTTTCTGCAGCAGGAAGAGTATCGGTTAACCACGTTCAGCGAACATGAGATATCTCCCATCGATACCACTAGAGTATACAGGGACATGCCGTTTGTCGGCTACGATTGTCTGAGATACGAAGAAAAGCGATTAGGAACCTTCATCGACTGGCCTCATGAATGGCTGAAACCGTCAGAATTGGAGGCCGACGGATTTTATTATCTCAGGAAAGATGATCACTGTGCGT